ATACTAGAAGTGGTAATATTGCTACTTATTTGCTTCCACACAATGGAATTTGTCACTCTATGTGGTCAAATGGCTCCATCTCTGAGAATTTTCAAGGCTCCCATGCCATTCACTGTTAAAGGGTCTCCCTGCACAAAGATTCAGAGCACGTATGCTTTCGAGATGTCGTGTGAACCACATGACCCAAAAAGGATTTCTATATTTTTAAATCAGGTCATGACTCCAATAACTGTCATATTCCCAGCTGACAGGAACACAGATCTCAGCACCAGCAGTGACACCACAGCTTGTGAGCCTCCTGAGGCTGCCACACCAGCCCAGAGACCATCCCAAAGACAGAGCACTCTTTGCAAGTGACTCATGTTTAAGCAAAGCAGGAGCACTATCTCCTCATCTCAGCAGGCAGGAGGACCATTTATCATTTTCTTTTCCCCAACTCTGTTCATAACCCCACCACTGGGTTCTAACTACAACAACTGTTATCATGCAAGGAACATAGGGGACTGTTTTTAAATAAATACTAAATAACTGCTACTTTTAAAGAGAGGCTTTCACTTTAAATTAGCTACCTCACAAAGGGAATAACTTCCTAATTTTCTCCAGGTTACTAAGAACTGATAGCATTTACAACAGATTTCACATTTGCAGAGCACCCCATGTTCCCCAGAACTAAAAAAAAAAAAAACCAACAAAAAAAACAAAACACATTGCAGATTTATAGGCAGCTGAGGCCAAACTGATTCACTTTTGTCACTGAAAAGAGGCCACTTCTTGGGTGACACATGGCAACAGTCTACACTAACCAAGACCAGTGAGCCTGTTTGTTTGTGGGAATGAAGAGAAGTCAAAGCCTGGATTTTAAAAGAGAAAGATCAGTACTGAATAATGCTTTTCCCACAGAGATGTCCTCGCAGCTTGAGGATGCAGTGCAGTCAGCACCAAAAATGTGCTGAATCCTGCAGTGTACTAACAGTATGCCTATTCTGTATTACAAGGGTTTTATTGCAAAACTGTATCTGAGTAGCATTTACTGGTGAAGGAGAGTTTAAGGCAAGTTTTAGTCACAGATATCAAAACCCATCAAAATATGGGGAGAGGGCTGAGCTTCTGAAAGCCATGCAAAATTTGTTCATCTGAGCGGGTGAGAAGTTCTGTACAGTTGGTAGAATATCTGTGAATCTTTGGGGACATCTCTGTGCCTTTTGCCTTAAAAAACTACCAAAGTCACAGGTCAGTTTGGAACGGAGGCTGAGAAGTGACACCCCGGGGTATCTGAGCCCACCTCTGCATGTCAGGAGCCCAGAGGGAAATGCCAAACTTGGGTATTGGGTTTGCATTGACCATTTGCATGCTTGTAGATTTTCATAGCCTGGGACTGGTGCCATTCTAATAATAATCTTCTGTACAGCCTGTAACAGCTCTAAATTCATCTTCCCTTCCTGAAATGCCACAGCTCAGTCCAACAGGCATTTATGAATGTTATCATAGGCAAAAAGATGATGTGGGGGAGTGGAAACATATTACCAGTGCTTCCCTTAGACTCATTCAAAGGAAGATATTTCCCTACTGAAGGTGGAAAAAAAAATGAAAAAGAAAAAAGCATTCTTGGATGCAAGTCTGCAAGTTAAAAGTCCAGTACTTGAATATGGCTTAGAAACTGGATTTAACAAAGAAAATGATACTGTGAATTAAGGAAGGAAAGTCAAGAACAACAGTCAGAAGGATATAAAGGTCAGTAAGTTTTTGTTCAGAAATGGATACATCATAAAAGTGAATCAGGAAAACATTTAGTATGGAACATGCCTTTGAATAACCCTCTCCTTTACTAATCCCCTTCTACAGGAGCACAACAAAAGCCATATTTCCATGCTGAAACATGCATACAGTACCTCTGAATTCTCTAACATGCCAATCAGGAGCAAAGTGAAAAAAGGAAGACAAAGGAATAAAATTAGGATAAGCACAACATAGAGGACTCACATATTCAGTAAGATTCGCTCACATTAATTAACATTTCTTATAAGGAAAACATTAAAGTGTATTTAACAAATACATCTTTGTACAGAAAAAAAAGCAAACCCGATGAAGATAATTCTAACAGCAAAGGGGGAAGGAGCCATGGTTACAGAACAAATCTGACATCATAAATCATCAGCAAAGCACAGAGGAAGAATTGTTCGCTGACAGTCAGCTCCTACTCCCACCGCTGTCAGTGACAGAAGCAGCTGACGTCAGAAGTGTAGGACTCAGATATGCAAAATGAGAAAGGACGAAACAAAATTATTACAACGAAGATTAAAAATAGCACCTTATCCTTCCTCCCATAGCAGAATTAACTTGCTAGCCCACGCAAACAAATCAAACAGATTGTCCAGGTGAGGAGATGGATGGAGCTAACTCGTCAGAGACTGCCGAGCATATCAGATAAAGATCTGAGCTGGATGTCCTGGTCTCAGGCTTGTTCTCCATCCCTGAATCAATGAAGACTGCCTTGTGTCCTAGTTTCTCATTTTTTGAAGCTCCTGACACTGCCTTACAACTCCCTGTTCCCCATTACCACCAGCCTCACTGGAAAAGTCTTCTTTAGTAACATATTCCCTCCATCTGTCAGATCAGTGGGACAGAAGGGAGGGAAGAGGAATCTGATACTGACCTTCCCAGTGTGCTGGGCTGCTCTCCACACACAAACCCAGTGTTCACTGCTCCAAAACAAAGCCAGCGCTTCCCTACGCTCACTGCAGAGCACACACCAGGCCCAGGGGAGCTGAAGGCTTTGGTATCTCCTCTTTCTATCAGCCAGAAAGGTGAATCACTGAATGGAGGCTGATCAGAATAAGGTGTCTGAGAAAAACTGATCAGATACTGAGAAGTACCTGCCTTCCGGCTTCCTATAGAACTCTGAACTGTCTTAAGCTCTTTTTTCCCCCCATTCTTTATTCTCTCCCATTCTAGGTCCATCCCTTCACTTGATACCTTTTCTGGTGCTGTACTAGACATTTCTCTCTTCTGATCACCGCCCCACAAACTGAACAGAGCAGGAGGTAAAGGCAAAAGAGAGCTGACCCCTTCAAAGCTGGGCCATACCCTGGTGCTAACTGTGAACACCAAACTTCTTGGATGACCTTGCATGAGTTCCAGTGAGCTTTTGGCGTCAGTTGTGGTGTGATTTTAAACAGGTCTCTTTTCTGATCAAGCCTCCATGATTTAAATCATTTGCAGTATCAAACAAATTACAGAATTTCACACCTAGGCAGCTGGTTTTTTTTGAGACACCTCTGCCTTCTCCCATGCCTTTAGAATAAACCACTGAACAGGAGGTGTTTCTCTAAGCTCAGATAAAAACTACTCAGTTGTTGCAATGTACTTATGAGGAAAAAAAATCCTTTCTTCATGAGCCTTTTTTTTCCCCATGCTAAATATTTTTAGCACCTCCACTTCCTACATACTTAGCAAGTAAATCCAGTTTCCTTATTTCTGGAAGTGCTGATCAGATGACTTGAGCATCCTTCTGGTTCAAGAGCACGGCCTAGTGGCAGGAAAATGAAAAGTGAGCCCGTCCCACTTTTTCACTTGCCTGCCATAGCTTGAAACAGAACCTCACACCAGTCACAGCTGAAAGCTACTTCTGAACTGATTCCAAAAACTGAATATCCAAGTAACTGTTGTATCAAGAGAAGACATTAAAAGGGAAACAGCACAGTAAATGCCTTTCTTTTCTTTTATTCTTTAGGACAACAGTACTGCTGTGAGCTGAAGGATATAAAGGAAAAGATGACTTGTGAGGAGTAATTGCTTCTCTTAGACCCACTGATACAGCTGGAAAAAATGATCAAGTTTTCGTGCTCAGAATGTCTCTCACCTGAGACATTTTGTAAGATACCTAATGAAAGGTCTCAGATTAAAACTTGACTTCTGGACACATCAACTACATGAGCTGGTCTAATAAAAGCCATTACTTCTCCTGCTGATATCCTTTGTAATGAGATGGAGAGAGAGCAGTGAAGGCTTCTGTGACATGACATCTAAGCCCTGAAAAGGGGAACTCGGGGAGCAAGAGAGGGAAATTCACAGTTTCACTGACCTTTTGCTGCCTTGTGGCTTGTCAACCAGGCTAAAACTTGATGAAGGGGAGAGGGACCTATATAATGATGTCACACCAAATGACTGGGTTTTTGTAAGAACACAAAAGCTTCCCATAAATCTGCAGGCCCATGAACCAGGCTGAAAAACCAAACTCGTGTGCCCTAGTCAGAGAGCCACCAGACGATGACAGGTATCAAGTGAATTACATCAGATGGGAGCTGTGGGGTAGGGGTTATTTTGTGGGGTTTGGGTCTTTTTTATATCATTATTATCAAACTTTTGGGAGAAAGGATCTCAAGATACGGTAACTCTCATGTTGCTGATGCTCCAGGAAAACAGCAGCACCAGCAGCTGCTAAGTCCCTTGTTAACCAGTGGAGCCAGAAATAAGAACAAGGACAGTTTTGACCCTTCAGACTTAATACCTGCTGTGTAAGTCTGTTGTGGGTGAGGCATAAATGGCAGACACACAGGCTCTGAAAATGACATGGATCTCATTCATCCTGCCTACCGCCAAGGGGCCTGAATTCCTGCAGCTGGCAAACTTTCTGCATGTATTTCACAGAAGGTTTGCCAGTTCTGAACTTTGAGAATCTGATGGAACTACTATGAAGAAGAAAAGAAATAAAGCTACACAGAGTCTGAGAGCACACATAAATCCCGTGGTAGTACTTGAACCCACCTTAAAAGTGTAACAAACCACTTGTAGCAATAATATCCACACTAAAACCAAACCAAAACAACAACAAACCAACAAAAGCCCAAATAAACAAAAAGCCCAACAAAACCAAACCCAAAGTCTATGTAGCCTACTGGTGAGAGAAATAAAGCAGCACTCATGATCACCTCGCTAGTCTTGTCCCAAGCTCTTGCAACAGGCACCTGTAACAAAGTACTGGTAACATGAATGCTCTGTACCTGCATCTTCCTCTTGACAGTCTCAAAGGGGAAAGAAAGTGTCTGTGCCACACCAGCTGCTACACAGCCATTTATGAAGTTCTGGAGAGGAGTGAACCGAACTACGGGCTCTTGCCAGATTTTGTCCAGACTGATGTAAACAAAGAATGAGCCTGCAGAAAATGGGACAGCACCTAGAAAGCAAATCAAGACAGGTTTATCTCAACACACAGTCCATTAAGAGAACAGAGCTGCTCATCCCATAGCCTAGAAAGATGGCAGGAGCTGCTGCCAGTTTATACCTCGCATTCCTAAAACCCAGTGCGGATTTTGAAGAACTTTAGTCTCTGGTTTGCCACCAAACACTCACATTGTAGCATCAAGATGTGCTGTTAGGGGCACACATTTACGTATTAAAACTTGCATGTTATCAGAATTAACTGTTTTAGTCTCATGTCAGGTTAGTTCTTTCTCCAGGTTATCTTTTTTCTGACAAGCTCTTCCTCAGTTCAAACCAACCCTAGCACTTGTGCAGGTAAACAGAGCTGTCTTCAGTCAAGCTCTTGAGGTATTATTCTGGTCTCTTTTGCTTGTTTCATGCTCTCATCAATTTTATAGTGGGATTATATATGTATTATTATTGTTGTTATGCATTTTTTATAGTGTCATGTTGTGAAAAAGTGGACTCAAATGGCATTTTTAAAGGCTATGGAGAGTAAATGAATAATTAAAATGTCATTTCAAGTAAAGAGAGAATATAACTAATCTTCACCTTTCACATCAATTATGCACTGCTGCTCATACTGGTTTTGCTGAGTGGCTTGAGAGACACTCTCATGCCTAGACAGGAATTAGGAACAGTGTGTATGTGTGTATATATATATATATTTAATGAGTTTAATGGTGAAAATCATGCACCCAAGCACAACTACACCATCTATAAAAAAAGGTAAAGAGGATACACGAAATGCTAAACATTTGGTCATAATTTGAAGGAATAAATCTGCAGCAGAGGTAATCAGCATTGCAGTGCCTCAAAAATCTACACATCTTCTACAAGAAGACATTTCTATTTGCTTCTGAAACCAAGTGAGCAAGTGAACCCACTACACAGCTGCAACAACCAACAGGCAGTGAGGGGATTTCCCCTGTTATTATTTTACCTAATATAGCCGGTGAAACACCACGGTAGAGAGCGTGGAGTCCTTCTTGATGATAAATTTTGTAAAAAGCATGAAGAATTCCCTCATAAGATGGTTCCAGTCGGTTCTGCACAATGAGCCGCGTTTTAATCACGTCAGTGGGGTATGTCATGATGGTTGCAACCATGCCAGCCAGACTTCCTGCCATGATGGCTCTCCAGTGGGAGATATGACCCAGCTCATCCGTGAAAAGTATAACAAATCTAAAGTAAATACATAAAAGAAGTCCTATTAGTGACACTGTGAATAAAACACGTGAAAAATCAAGGAAGATAATTCTTGATACAATTGTTCTTCTGTCCACAGGCCTCTTCAGCAGCAGGACTTGAAGCTTTAATGTGTAAATCATCCAAGATCTTACTCTACGTAACACTGCACAAGCATCCATCTACAGGGTGAAAATCTCTCTTTTGTCTTTTCATCTAGTGGATGAAAATTACCATGAGTTAAAACGTGTCTGCATGAAATTATCTGATCATCGGTTAGAGACATCAGTCCAGCACACCAGCCAAAGTTATCTCCTAAGAAGAAATATGTAGATAATGTCATCACAGGCCTTCTGAGAACAACTGAACCTTCCTCTGTTGCTTGTGTTAGAACGGGAGGGTCCACATGGATATGCCTCTATAGAAGACTTATGTCCAGGCACTACTATGCTCAGGAGGTTAAGTCTAAATTTGAAATTTTGAAACTGAAGCAGAGTTTTAAAGGCTACACACAACTCGTGCATTTGTGCTGCACAGAAGGACTTTTACATGGCAGGGCACTCCTACATCAGGGAGCAGTGTTATAGAGACAGAAAGAAGCAAGTAAAAACATCCAGAAGGAGAGTTTTAGCTAAAGGTAAAGAAACTTATTATCCTATTTTAGAAGCATTAACTGAACTGCCTAAACAGCAGATCTACATTTAACCCACATGGTGTAACCATGTCCAAAACAAAATGATTGGCAAATATTCACAAGTCACTGCTTGCTCAGCTTATGTTTTTTCACAGGAATGTGCATTTTCTACTGGATGACAGATCCCTGCATCTACTAGTCCTGAGCCCTGGGAGAGCCTGGGGCAGAAAGCCCAGCCAAGCAAAAGTGCATAAATGTTTTTCCTACGTGTCTTGTACAGTCCTCAAACCCACAGTGCCTGATTTTCCTGTGCGTGCACAAACGCGTGGGGAGGTGTCTCCAGGTACTACCCTGATAACATTTGAAACTGCCACGGAATGACAGTCCCTGCCCAGTAATTGCTGATGGAGAGTGGAGTCAGCCAACCCGCCCTTGCCCAGCCAGCTCCACCTACACCACTGTCCCTGGGGTGTTGGCTGTCATCAGCCCCACTCCTCCTTGCCACTGGAGTCACTGTTTACTTAAACTGCCCTGTAACACCTCTCTTTTTTTGTTTCTTGCCTTTATACATGCCATTCTCCTACTAGCAAACACACTGAAAAATCCCCAAATGACGTATCGAGGAATAAGTATTTATTTTCACATTTATTTATTTTCCTGGTAGCTTACTTCAACCTGACGTTCAGAACACCCTGTGCAAATAGAGACGAAGTATGGCCTTGCACAGGGAATACACTGTTTCAAGCTAAAAGAACAATGACGTTAGTAATTCTGCTCAAAACCAACTGGTTTATACTGGTGCAACACACCACCTTTTCTGTGAATTTTAAATGACATTTAAATCACTGTTTGTGCCTTCCCACTGCCATTATCCCTCCCCTTGCTTGACCACTGTACGTATTATGGCACAACAAAGCTGCCCAGTTTTAGGGTCACTTCACCTGAGGTCTCCTGAAGGGCACAGGCAGCACTGGGGGGATGACCTGCTGGGGCAGATGAGTGACAAACCCAGCGGGCTGGCAGTGCCAGCGAGCCCAGGCTGCTGCCCAAGAACCGAATAACCCACGGCCCAGCTGGGCGGAAATGTCATGTGCTGCCATGAACAGCTGACTGTGTTAAAAAAAAAAGAGAAAAAAAAGAATGAAGCCCAGCCTCCCTGAGCAGAAAAACATGCTGGTGCGTGCGAGCAGTCAGGCACTCCCTGGAAGGAATGAGAGATACTGGCAGATACTGGCAGCAGAAGGGAATCCTAGGAGACAGCACAGTCGGCAGAGCTCGGTCAGCACTGTTCCATGTTGATCCTGCTGCAACCCTTCCAGCGTTTACCTTGGTTTAATGGCAGTGCATTATCAAAAACAAGACCTTAAAACAAATAATGTCACGTATCAACGTCAAAACTGATCAAATTTGCTTAACAACTGCTGCACGACGGGGTAAAATATTTGATTCGTGATTTCGCTATTTTCCTTGATACAGACAATATAAGTACTCGAGAGCATATAAATGAATAAAGTAAACTGGATGCAAAGAGCAGATGCACATCTGGAGATTGTGCTGCATTTCTAAAGGAACTTGAGCAGAAGAGTTTTAAGACTATCGACCCTTTATCACTTGAAGAACACCTATGACTTCATAAGAAGTTGCAGGTGAAGAACACCTACGGTTTTATAGGCATTTGCTGGCATACCACCAGGTCCTAAGAACCGCTACTGAATAAAGTAAACAACTTATTAATAAGTTACGATTCGGGGTCCGTGCCTTTGGGGAGAGAGGGCAACCGCACAACCAGAGACATCAGACCAAACCCTCCGCCTTCCCCCCCCGCTTTCGAACGGACAGGAGGGCCGGGGCGAGCGCGGACCCTCCGGGAGCCCCCCCGGTCCTTACCGGCGGGAGGCGGCGATCTGGAGCGCGCTGTAGGGGCAGAGGCGCAGGCAGGCGGTGAGGTTCCCCTTCCAGAGGGCCCGCAGGCCCTCGGTGCGGCACAGGCAGCGCCCGGCTTCGCGCAGCCCCCGCCGGCAGTGCCAGGTGCCCACCTGCGCCAGCACCGTCAGCAGCTCCAGCGGCGCCGTCAGGCTGAGGCTGAGCGCGCCCGCCAGCCCCGCGCAGCCCAGCCGCTGCAGCGCGGTCACCCGGCCGTCCCGCCGCAGGGTGGCCATGGCCGCGCGGGCCCCGCCGCAGCGGAGGGAGCGCGGGGAGCGGGGCGGCGGGGGCTGAGGGAGCGGAGCGCGGCGAGCGGAGCGCAGGGAGCGGCCCCGCTCGGCCCGGCCCGGCGGGGCGCGGTCGGGGGAGGCGGCGCCGCCCGCCTCGGCCGCCGGGGGGCGCTCGCGCGGCGGGTGCGCTGTGCGGAGGCGGAGCGAAAACGCGGAGCGGATTGCTGGGACCGGGCCGTGCCCCGGCAGCGCCCCGTGCTCCTGCTGGCACCTGAACTCATGCAATTTCCATTTGTGTTGGCGTAAAAAGTGACTCAGAAGCATTCAGGATACTCCCCTTCGTCTTAACATGTTCCCACAGGGATCAAATGCATCCACCGGTTGCTGCTCATTCTCTGCACTGCCTGGACAGAAACACCGCATCCCAACTAATGAGTTCTGCTTTCAAAGCACTGTGCATTAATGCTAAAAGTGAGGGACAGAGTGAAAGGCATTAATGAGATTTACAAGGTCAGTTAGTTCAGGTTTTGTTGATATGCTGCCAAAGAAAAGGGGAAAAGGGCACAGGAATATAGGAGAAGAAAGTGGAATTGAGATACAAGTAGTGACCAGGATCTATGGATTGAGGAGATAATGGGTAGCAAGAAAGCAGTAGCAGTGATTTGACCCAAAACAGGATGCTGTTACTGTTCTGTTTCTTGTAATAAAAGCCCAAACAAACAAACAAAACCTAACAAACAAAAAAAAACCCCGCCCAAATTGAAACCTAAATTCAGTATCTTTTTACAGTGCATCCAACAGAATAGTATCAAGTGGCCCTTAGCCTGCCTTTGGCAAGAATGCTCTGCTCCTGATCCAATGGAGTATTCCCAGATCAATAAGAGAGAGAAAAGACATCTCTTTAGTTGCCAGGAGCTCAACTACTTCTGGTCTTGTATTTCCTTGGTAGGAAGAAACCATTTAATCACCAGAGAGGAGAAAAAACAATGATAAATGGATGTAAATAGCCATATATTAATACTGCTTGGAAACAGAAGACTTCTAACCATAAAAGGGTGATATTTCTTGCTAAGGTTTGCTTTTCTTGCTCGTCTGCACAAGACAAACCTCAGCTTAAGATTCTGAGCACTGGTATCTTCCATCCAGTCTTCCCATTTCCATTACTCATTTTGGGGCAAGTTTTTACAGAATTGTTCTGCATGATGAAATGAATCACCAAGTTACCTCAGCTTTCCACAGCACAATTTAATCCATGGAGAAAAAGGTGGTTGGTGTGAGATTCTCCGTTGTATAAAGAGACCTGATAAAAGAAAACCAATCTTTAAAAAAAATTAAAATAAAAGATTGATTTTCACCAGCAGAAAGGGGAAGTGTTCAAAGCCAGGTTGGATGGGGCTTTGAGCAACCTGGTCTAGTGGAAAGTGTCTCTGCCCATGACAGGAGGGTTGGAACTAGATGGTCTTTTAGACCCCTTTCAACCCAAGCCATTCTGTCCTATGATCTAAGATTACTAAAAATAAATACTTTAAATTGCACCTTATTTTCACCACTTCTGCCAGCCCAATCACGTTTATACTGTTTATATACTGCTTAGTTTCCTATATCTCAAAAGCTATCACTGGAAAAACCAATAGTGAATCCTCTGAGGGATTTTTGTTATTTATATAAAAATAGATTTTTATTACAGTTGTTGACTGAATTTCACAGAACAAACATTTTAAGCAATTGAGTAATTTGTGAGAACTATTCTGAACATAACTTTTCTTTACTAGAAGATTGCTGTGTATTTCTTTACCCTTTGTCTTACATAGTTGTAGTTAATAAAGAACAATGTACAGTCTTTAAAGTAGCTACTAGTTAATTCTTTAAACATTCCTACACTGACATCATCCTGCTTTATTACACATCTTTTAATCAATGACAACATAGAATCACAGAATTGTTAAGGTTGGGAAAGACCACCCTTATAATTTGCCCCAGATACCCTTACAGTGAAAACATCAAGTCCTGGATTGGGTTTGGTGGGGTTTTGTTGTTTGGGTGGTTTTTTTGTTTGGTTTGGGTTGGGTTTGGTGGGGTTTTTGTTTGGTTGCCTGAGTTTGTTTGGTTTTGGTTTTGTGACTGCAAATAGTTTGATCACTATCAGTGAGTTGCTTCAGCACGATACAGGGATGGCTGACATCAGAATCAGGCACAGCACTGAGATCTGTCACACGCTGGTTTTATTAGTAAAGGTGATGTTGGAGCGTGTTGTCATTTTCTAAATGAAACTCCTTTCTACTCTGACACTGTCTTCCTTGGGTGCCACGTCAGTACATAACAAGAATATGTTTAAAGTTTCCCGGAAATCTTCTGACATGAGGGAGGGAGAACGAAAAAAGCTATCAAAGAACCTACTTTTCTGCCCATGCCACCCCCACATATAAGGTAGAAAAGCTCTATATTTAGCCCTGCTCAGAGGCATTCAGTTGCCACTGCTTTCCAGGACATTTGCTGGAGATTCCTAGAGCACAACGTGTTTTCAGTCCATTCCTTCATTGGTGGTGGGAGGAGAGGCCACTCTAGCAAGCAGCTGGGTTGTCTGTATGCCTGATAGCAAAAATTAGCAGATTTGCCTCTGATAACCCAGGACGTCTGTGACTGAGCCAGAAATAGAACCTCACACTGTTACTCCTGTGACTTCATCACGAGCTGCCTCTCAGTACCACGAGCGACTCACAGTGTCAGCTGGACTCAATAACTGATCACATCAGTATCTAGGGAAAGAATATCTCAGCAGTGCACAAATTAGTTTCCCGAGTCAAACCCACAGTGACAGCCATCTGCATGAAGCAAGGCTGTATCACTTTTATTCATGAACTGAAACTGTGCAGGTTTCCTGCTGTCCTTTGGAACAGGTCTCAGTGTTCTATTTCAAAATGAAATACAACTCTGAGGTTTGATTTCTTCTATAGACTGTACAACCTAGAGGTAGGGACATATATAGTCTCAACAGGGGGAAAATTAGCTTAGCTTTTAAATTACTTGAGCAGTATATAAAATACAGACATAGCTCCTGGAATGACATTACCAAGCCATAAGCAGAACCAGAGCGAAGATTCTTCCTTCCACATACATAAACACACTTCATGTTCGAGTCTTCTTCCAACCATTTTCCTCCCCAGCCTAATCCTGAAGCTTCCAGAGAAGCTTGCCTATGTGCATTGATTTCCAGGTTTTAAAGCAAACCCATTTGAAATGTAGCTGGTTATGATGTTGCAATTTCTCTGCACTAAAGTTGATTCACTTCAAATCCACTTTAGCTAAATGACAATAAACCCAGAACAAACAAATGAGCTGGCTCTACACCAGTTTTCCCTGAACTGATTTTCAAAGATGTCATATGACTTGTTCAGGCAAGGGTTTCCTCTTTCCTTGCTATGTCCAGTTTTAAGAAGAAAGTTTTTCTAAGAGTAGAGCAAATCTAGGTAGGTAACAGATGGGATAAAGCCTAGAAGCTTGCGGGGTGCAGAGGGAGGTGTAACTCCTCTGCAAGAGGGAAAGATGGGACAATTATACTCCCAAGATCTCTTTCTAATGTTGTATCTTTTGCATACAATGAGATAACTAATCTTGGCTTAAAATTGTATCTGCAAAACAACTCTGTATTGTCTTGTTGCTCCTGTAAACATCAAACCTGCACCTGAAGCAAGGTGCTCAGTCTCCCATGTTCTTTGTAGTAATGATTTCCACCGTTTTATTGTACACTCTGTAAAATGGGATAATTTCTTTCATCCACTGTGTAAAAGTGAATCATCTTTTTATTAGTTTTGGCTTTGGCATGTTTAATTAATATGACAAGACACTTCTTCATAACATGAGAATGTTGCCAGAGTGATTTCCTTAACATCAGTTTGCCCTGTCTCCTTTCCCAGAGGAAATACAATTTACTGCTCATTCCCGGAGTAACTCTCCATACTGCTCCAGCACAGTGCTCAATCCCAGCAGGCAGGATATTCCACTATGGCAAATGACACTCTGCCTGCAGCCCAAGCCCTGTGTATCTCCTATGATCTTCACCCATCATATTTACAACTGCACTGCCCCAGGAGAAGAGATAAAGTGTCTAACACAAGGGATGAGAGATAAAAAAATACATTATGTTTTAGAGTCACATTTGGAAGATTGCAAGATACAAAAACAACACTGAAAAAAAAAAAGGGAGTATTTGAATGAATGGCTACCCTACTTTGAATTCCACTGGGCATCTTAAAGGCAGAACAGCCAAGGGCTGGGAAGCGCTGGTACCTCCAGCAGCACATGAATAATGTGCTGGCATCCTTTGGAGCCTTGGTACCGTGCTGAGACACCTGCACAGCGTTCCCACTGGGCATCTACGAGCCAGTGCTAAAACAGGGAAAGGCCAGACATAAACCCTGTAAGCTGTGGTGGATGAGCTACCTGTGTTGCAGGACAAAGGAAAACACCGTATCGTATCACAACCAGGCCTTCACACTGCCCGAGTGAGGCAGTTACCGAGGGGCAACCCTTTCTCTTTGGCATATTTTTAATACACTCTCCACACACGATGCCCACAGGCCGAGGATGCGGGGTCCAGGAGGGTGCAGCCGAGGCCGGGCGCGCAGGGGCAGCCCGGGGCTGTGCGAACCCTCAGGGGCAAAAAGCCGGGCAGAAGGGCAGCCCACCGGCACCACCCGGGATTTACCTCGCAAATCGTTCCTCAAAACTACCCGTGAAATCCCCGACCACCACAGGGCCGGGCCGCGCCCTTACGGGAGCCCGGTGACCGCAGGACAGCCCGGGGCGGGGCCGGGGCCGGCGGAGCAGCGGGAGGAGCAGCGGGAGGAGCAGCGGGAGGAGCAGCGGGAGGAGCAGCGGGAGGGGCGGGAGGGCCGGGCCGAGCCGCGCCCCAGGGGCGGGTCCCCCCGGCGCTGCCGCGGCCGCCGCGCTCCGCCCCGGGGTGGTGGCGCGAAGGGCCGGCGGTGCAGCGCGGCCGGAGGGTAAGGGAGGCCGGCCCTGAGGGAGCGGGACGCTGCCGGCGGAGGGCGCTCCGGGCCGGGCGGGCGGGGGGTGCGGTGCCCTGCTGGGCTGGGGAAGATGCCGCGGCCGCCGGGCGCTGGGGGCGGAGCGGGGCTGCCCGGAGCCTGCGGGCCCGCTGGGACGGGCCGGCTTGGCCTGGCCTCTCCTGCGGCCCCGGGCTCGGCCGGAGGAGCCCGGCCCGTGCGGAGGTGCCGGGCCCGGGGGTTGCCCGGCCCGGAGTGGCCCGGCCCGGCCCGTGGCTGCCGTAGCGCTCGGACCGGCCGGAGCTGGGCCCGCAGCTCTCCGGGGCTGGAGAGAGGGCAGATCCCCCCGGGTCGCCGTCTCTGGTGTTGCGGGGGTGGGCCGGGCTCCGCTGTGGCCGCTGCCGACCCGCCAGAGCTCCGGGCACCGCGGCCTCCGGCGGCCCTCGGGCCGGGGCTGGCGGGCGCTTTGCTGTATCCCTACCTCGGGCAGGCAGGATGGGGCACGGCGGTGCTGGGAGCGTTCGCTTCGAAACGTCCCTTTTATTGAGATGTTTGTGCGAGCAGTCATGCATCTGGTTATCTCTCCTTTTCACTTAATTTTGCACAGAGCTAGGTGGATAAACTGCTCTCATCTGTTAAAAATCCGCTTAAACCTCTTGTTTAAACTTCTGCATGTGACTGTCTCCTGGTAGACATTTGTCATAGAATGACTAAGGTTGGAGAGGACCTCTAAGCTCGTGGAGTCCACCTGGGAACACCACCATGTTTACCGCTAAACCATGTCCCCAAGTGCCACAACCACGCATCTTTTGAGCACTTCCAGCGGTGGTGATTCCAGCCTCTTCCAATGCCTCATCAGCCTTTCAGTGCAGAAATTTTTCTTAGTATCGAATCTAAACCTCCCCTGATGCAACCTGAGACAATTTCATCTTGTCCTGTCATATGTTACCTGGGAAAAGATACTGACCCCCAGGCTACAATCTCCATTCAGGTGGTTGTAGAGAGTCCTAAGGACCTCCCTGAGCCTCCTTTTCTTCAGGCCAAACAACTGCAGCTTTGTTCCCTGTGTGGTTAACTCTCTGCTGCTTTGTATCAACTTATATACTTGCCACATTGCATTTGCTGGTAGGTGCTCTTGCATACCCACCTCTGCAGAATTAGGATATTTCCTCTCGGGCTTTGGGACTGCTCTGGGCTTGAAGGCAGGGAAACCAGTTGTCTGAAAAGTAACCTGGCAAAATATTTTATTTTTGTTTCTTCAAGATAACCCTCTTTCCTGACTTAGTAGATGGTATGGTCTCTGAAACTGTTGTGATGGCCCAGGGCCTGGCATGAGTGACCAGCTGGGAAACTGGGGATGGTAAGAGCTGTTTGAGTTAGCAGTACCGTGAGCAAATATGAGGGGCACCTTTGGATCAAAGTATTCCCACTACTTGCATGTTGCTCATGTGGACTGTAGGAGTGTTTCAGGTCAGATATTGCCAGGTTGTTAATGTTTCCCTAGAGTGTAATTTTGTTTAAAGTATGAACTTAGGTAACACATATTAGGGTGTTGTAAGATAAGGGCAGCCTGCAGTTACCATAATAAACCCTAGTGCAAGGGCAGATGTATTCCAAATATTATAACAGAATAGTTAAAAGAAAATAATAATAATTTGGTAAAGAGGTGGAATGTCATCTTCCTTGTGATTTATTCATTTGGAACAGTTAAAGCCTAAGATAACAGCTTATTGATATGTCAGGGTTGATTCCAAAAGGCCATGCTGCTGAACGGCAATTCAGCAGATCAGGCAGTAGATAATTCTGTGCTTTGTACACAGTTGCATGATGAGAAATACATTTCTGGTGCTTGAAGATCACCTGGCTGCGAAGAAGAACAAGGGTAACTGTGCACTGTCAAACCACTATAGCTTGCTGAGCTCTGTGAAGAGAGTTTTGGGCTTACTTTTAGGTGATTTATTACAGCAGTAGCAACATGGTTGCAGCCATGGTGGTGTAAGGATATAAATGAAGGAAGATCTGCAAGGGTAGGATAATACCAGTTGGTTTAATAGGAGATGTACTTGCAAAACAGAACGAGATTTTGGGTACAGCAACTGCTCTTCAGGCTTGACTTTCATATCTCTACAGGTTGCAACAGCAGTGTCCTGGATGCTTTAACCTGCTGCACCACAAATCTTAGTGTGATGGAAGAAGCGTAGTTGGTATTGCACTTTAGCTTTAGGAATCTCTTCATCTTAATGCGTAGTGGGAAGAAACGATTCTAGAGATTACTGACTGCTTCAGTTTTGTAGTAAGTACTTTGGGTGTATCTACTTTGCTTATATGAGATACTGAAGGTGTGTCTATATACATGTTCTCCTGTATGCAGAGATTAATCCTGAGAGATTCAGCCTTGCCTGACAAACTTGTGGTTGATTGAGTGCATTTGGCAGCAGTTCCCTAAGAGGAGCAGTTCAGTCCTGCAGTCTGTGCTGTAGCTGCTGCTTCCAGAGATTCCTGGTTGTTTTAATTTAATTTTAATTACACTAACTTTTCCTCAGTACATTTGTGGGAGATGTTCTGGTATGTCAGGGTACAGAGAGACATTCTCATGAGTGTAGTGGTGCTTTGGGAGTTTCCTGGGGTCTTGTATTTGCTCAGCATGTTGTCTGTGTTTGTAAAAATACACAGCAAACTGGACTGCTAAGTCTGATTCTGCTTCTTCTGTGACAGGTGACTTTTGATACAACCAGGCATTTTAGTGAAGGAGCCATAAGACAGAGAAGCCTGAAAAGACTAAAGCTGCAAGAACAGGAGCACATTCGAAAAAGGGGGAAAAAAAGAGAGGGGGTTGAAAGGTGAGAGTATATTTTTAGAGAATGTCCCATTTTCTTGAGATTTGTTACACTGCCTCATACCGAGTAAAATAGAGGAAGAGCAGATATGTGAAAATCCAGGCTTTGAGGAAACAGGAGTTGGAGAACTTAAAACACTACTATGTATGTGTCAGTTGTTAATTTATGTCAGAAAGTAAAACATCTTGATAATTCTGTGTAAGGCATCTGATGCAGGGGTCTGGATTATGAGAAAGGTGGGACTGGAGTCATTCCAAGGTTCCTTTCAGATGGGATTATTCTATGACTCTATGGACCTAGAGTGAAATCAGAGAGCTCTCTCTCTCAAATTGATCTGAGGCTTGATTGCTTAAGATTTCTGCACATGGACTTTTTGTATTGCTCCATGCTGCAACATCATAAATAATGTCTTTAAGCCCTTAAATAAAATTAAGTGACATGCGTTTCTAGGTGCCTCCCAATGACTGGAAGGTCCAAAGCTAGAAATTAATACTTTTCTGTCTTTACCCATTTTTACATGTTATTTTTCCATCGTTGATATCTTTAGGGCAGTGTTCTTAAATTTTGTATATGAGTAATAGTAGCATATTGAAGTTTTGATTCTCTAGATAATGTGCTTGGATGGCATCCTAAACTGTCATTAGTAATTAATCATGTTATATACCTTCATGTCTTAAAAAACCCCAACACTCAGAATGCAGAGCATAGTGGCATGCAGTGGAAGCATAGCATGCTAGGTCTCTAAAAGGTTTAGTTGTTATTTCTTCCTTATTCAAGTGCTTCTTTAAAAACTATTTTTAAACACTTATTATTTGTATGAACACTGTTCCTTGAATTTTATGGAGCTTTTCGTGATGTGTCATGTTGATTATTTATTTGGTAGATCTACTTTGTGCAGGGCAAGGTTCCCAAAAAGCAGTGGCAGCCTGTTGTGGTTTAACCCCAGCTGGTAATTATACCCTACAACAGCTGCTGCCTCCCTCCCACTCCCTGGTGGGATGGGGGGAAGAATCAGAAGAGTGAAAGTGAGAAAAACTCATGGGTTGAGATCAAGACAGTTTAATAGGTAAAGTAAAGGTCATGTGCACAAGAAAAGCAAAACAAGGAATTCATTGCCCACTTCCAAAGGGCAGGCAGGTGTTCAGCATCCCCAGGACAGCAGGGCTTTGTCATGAGTAATGGTGGCTTGGGAAGACAAACACTCCAAACGTCCCCCCTTCCTCCTTCTCCCCCAGTTTTATTGCTGAGCATGAGGCCATATGGTCTGGGATATCCCTTGGGTCAGCTGGGATCAGCTGTCCCAGCTCTGTCCCCTCCCAGCTCCTTTTGCCCTCCCAGCCTCCTCTCTGGTGGGGTGGGGTGAGGAGCAGAGAAGGCCTTGGCTCTGGGTAAGCTCTGCTCAGCAGTAACCCCCGCATTACTCTGGTAATACCTCTTAAATGGGACCCTCCTGCTAATCTGTAGGGGAGATTTGTTAATCTAAGAATTAGATCCAAATGATTAGTCTCTAGTTGTGTCCTTGGAGACAAAGAATCATGTGATGCTGTTGTCTTGGCAGTGCTTATAAAGAAAACATTAGAATACAAACAATTTGAAGAAACAAAGAACTTTCTAACTGTGGGCATCAGTTGTGTGTGTGTAATTTTTATGCCATGTTTTTTTAAACATGTTATTTTAACAAACAAGATTCCTTGTTAGCCACATGAGATTCTTGGCAACTGGTTGCTTATAATTAGCACTTCAAAGACTTATATCCAATTCTCCAGGACTCAAACTGTAAAACAAGTGTCATCTAAATTGTCCCATATTGATAATTACCTAGAAAAAGTCGTGGTGATGAAAAGAAGTTCAAGAGAGAAAAAAGAAAGCTAAGCTCGAGAGGAGAGAAGAGAGGCAGATAGATGGAGATGAGAAACATCCCCCAAAGCAGCAGAAGGTACCAGCTGAAGAACAGCAGTGGCCAGAGAATATGCCTGAATGGGAAGAAAGGAAATCCCTGCTAGCTCAGAGAAGAGTGGAGTCTATCAGACTGCTTACAGTGCTGTTAAATCGTGTGAAAGTAAGACTATTTTAAAACATATTTTAAATGTTGAAGGATATTTACTAGAGCTTGAATAATTCACTAGACATTTGATGTCTTGATGCTATTGAGAAAAATTCCTTGGGGCTGACCAAACAGTGAGAAGGCCTGAGTTCTGTGTCTTGTGACAATCTCTTCTCAGTCTTTCCCTGAGAGCAAATGTAGTGCATTTGCAGCCAGAAACTTTGCTTTTGGTACTTTCTCGAGGCATTTTCATTACTGAATAAAAAATAGGGGTGGAAGGGCTGTATCAGCTCTATTAGACTTGATCCAGCATTGCAAGGAAGCAGTTTTGGGGTGGGGACTCTGCTTGTTTTGGTCTCAGGTCTACAAGTGACTGAATTAAATTGGCACAGATTATGCCAGTTGCATTTCTAATAGCCTCTCTTTCTGGGGGGCCAACACTAATCTATCAAGTTTATTTCAGTTTGATTCAGCTAATGTCTTGAAAAAGGGAGTAGAGGAGCAAGAAAAATTTTAGTGTTTTGCACACAGATTAATGTTTGGAGGTTTAGTTTAGTGCTTTGGGCTAAAAAGAAGAATTTAAATGAAAACGGGTTTTAGTTTTTCTGGGGCTTCGATTTCTAACATGACTTTGTCTTTGCTATTTGTTCAAAAAGATTAGCTTACAAGCTTTTAACAAGTGTATGTTTTCCCCAGTCCTAGATGTAAAAAGATTTCTAGAGGTCTATAATGCACTATGAGTTGAAGTCAGAGGCTACCCTTGCCATTCTGCATGAATTTTAGGGCCCCGTGATATCTGACATTGGCCTTCTTAGTTATGAAGGTAACGTGTTAAATGAACTTCTGTTCTCTTGGTTTCACAGTTGGCAAGTCAAAAAGTGGATCCTTCGTTGGGCATAAGGAAGGACAGTTCTTTTTCTGAAACAGCATTAAAAGGCATACACCAGGAACTGATTAACTCCCACTATCACACGCACAAAGAGCTGAAACATGAGGAAGAGTTTAAGTGCCTGTTAACCCGAAAAGGTGGTGGTTTGTGTAGTGAGGAGGGAGATGTGCGTAATTTCCATGCAACTGCTTGTCACATAGTCAGGACGGTGTTAAATGAGCCCTCTCCAGCGCCGGGCTCTGAGGGGCTGCCTGGCAGAGACCTGTGCGACTCCTCTGGCTGTGGATCTTTGCTGATTACGGTCACCCCAGACGGCAGGGTCATCGAACCTCTCGGTGGAAGGGACCACCCAGCGCTGAATGCAGCTCACACACAGGCAGTGGCTGAGGAAGATGATTGCAAAAAGCGAAAGGTTTATGAGACTGATGAATTCATCCATTATTTACTGAACTACTATCAGACACCACATTATGCACGTGTCTACCTAGAGCCAAAAAACACGGCGAGCGAGTCCTGGTGGAAGAGAGTGGTGGTTGGTGACAGTGGTGGTTTTGACATCAGCTTGAGTAACAAACATGGGCAGCACCTCAGAGGAGTGAGTCCTGCACAAAACCTCTACAAAACAAATTGTAGTAGTAATTATAGACTGGTGATCACTGTTGGGGAACTTGAATCAACAGACAAAGTGTCAGACAACAAAGCCCATGGTGGCAAGCTTGCAAAAAAGTTTCAAGTGCAGAGGAATGACTCACTCACTGTTGATAACTTACCACATGCTGTTCTGAATCATTCTTTGGAGTGCACTGCTGTTTCTTGTGATAAGGAATTCAAACAAGAAGATGGTCGAGATGAAGGCGCTGTACCATATGAAACATGTAGATCTGCTTTCAGATTAAAGGATTTGTTGGAAGAGATCAGTGACTCCGAGTACTTTAGAGAGCCATGTGGTGGCTCAATGAAGAGAGCAGAAAAAAGGTGTGAAGAAATTCACAGCAATTGTAACAGAGGGTGCTTGCCTGCAAGAGGTGGGGAAAGAAAATTGCTGGTTTACCATAAAAATGTAGCTCTGGAAGGTCAAGAGAAGGAAACCAACAAATGTAACTCCTGTTCTAATTCTGTCCATGAGGGCTTGGCAAGGCAGTGGGAACAGAAGCTTAAAAAGTCATGCAAGAGGTCTAGTAGTAAATTAAGATATGAAGGACAGAAAAGTGAGAGACAATCCACAGATGAGGAGAGAAATGCTCATAAAATGAAGAAAAAGCGAAAAAAGCTTTCTCCTAATTTTTTATCTGATGAATGTGGCTTTTCAGAGACAGACAGTTGCATGCAGCTGGAATCACTCAGAAAGATACAGAGAAAATGTAAGAAAATGTTCCACAAAAAAGTGAAATTCAAGACACTTCACACTGCCATAGCAGCACCAGATGTTACCCCTCATGATGGCTCACCCCTTCAGGAGACCCTCCAGAGGAGAGGTGAGAAAGAGGGACACCACAACTAAGGGAACTGAATTTGATAGACTCTGCAGGTGAGGTCGCCACAGTTCTTACAGTGATGAATGGTGTTTTAAAAAAGAGTTTTCAAAATTATAACTGTGGCATAAAGAAACAGTGCAGCTTCTCTGCAATTACAGATTTCTTCAGTTTAGCTCAGAAACAGTACACACAGCTGCAGCTGAAGAGTAGTATTCATCTACTTAATTGGGTAGCAAAGTATCTGGCAGGGGAGTTTGCAGATGGGTGCTTATTCTGTTAAAACAACATCCATGTGCACAACATGCTTTAGACAAATAAAACATTGGTATGCACTTAATATGTGGCACAGCTGTGTGGGAAGTACTGTCAGAGGTGAGTGAATTTCTGTGTAGGTAATCATCTGATCTTCATACAGGATTGCTACTGACAGTTGTTACAGCCCTTTCACAATTTACTGTGCTTTCAGCTGGTTGGTGGATACTTTACAGTCACCTCCCCAGATCCTTTTCCCTTCCTGCCTGCTTGACAAACTCATTTCACGTAACTTTTTCTCATCTACAGGAGATGAGAGGAAACTAATGCTGAGAAGAGAGATGGATGCAGATGTCAGAGGATGCCCTCTATTTCCTCTTGAGATAATTCAGACAAACCCTTGCTCAGATACTTTCTGTGGAACAGAACCCAGAAGAGGATGCTGAACACCTATGATATAATAGTTCTGAATTTTTTGTGCAGAAGTGGGAGAAGAAAGGCCTTTGATCATTAAAAGGTATCTGAAATACTGGTTTGGGTTTTTTTTTGCTTAGGAATTCCTTTGGTTAGAATATCTAACTGGTGCAGTGAGCCACAAAAGCAGAATCTGTGTTTGCCTTTTGGATAACAGAGGACCAAAACTTTCCCCAGGGCCAGACAAACTTTCATGGAACAGCTGCTAAGAATTTGAAAGGACGTGGATTGAGATCTTGGAGTGTTACACTTTGATTAAATGTAGGGAATCATGTAAATATCAAAATCGCAGTATTTAGTAATAATGAGTCATTGGAAAAAACCGTACTTGTCAATCCTAGAGCAAGCATATGAAGTGCCTCCTCAATCAGATTGTTCTAATGATGGGGCTGAAAGGTGTGGGGGACATATATACTCAATTGTGTGAAGTAATAGATTTCCAGTATGAAAAAAGTCCCATCTTCTATAAAACCCACACTGGGAAAATCCTTATTTTCTATTCACAATTCTAGAGGTGTTTCTGAAAACTTGCTGGTTTTTGGGAGGAAGGATTTCACTGAACTTGTGCTCCATGTAGTGATCCCAGGAATCTGAACGGTCGTCTAAGCAAAGCTCTGAGTGTTCGATAATGAAAGGGCAATGCTTCTCAGCCTGCTGACAGTCCCCTGTAAATGCAGGTTGACAGTTTGTTCACAAAATTTTGAAGGCACATGTGGTGAGGTAGCTATTTAGTACGAGTTTGCTTACAAATAATTTCCAGAGGAATTGTGAAATGTTGTCGGACTTGTGCTGCATGTAGGTAAAAATGTGAAAACGCTGTCTAGGAGCTTGAGTTATATCCATATTTATTCAGCTGGCTATATCTACAAGACAGCCACAATTGCTTTTGGACAAAGTTCCTTAGCAAGATATAGAGGACCAGCTCAAAGTTCAATACGCTGATTATTGCAGCTTTCATTTTATTATGCTTTATTTATTACATGTCAGTAGATTAAGTTAATGTGAAAACGTTGCCTTCATTACATAGAATCTTACCCATGTTTGTAACTTCTGCTCTAATAAATAGTAATAAAAAAGAATAATTGTAATTGTTTGTGGTAGATAGATTTTCCTCCAGTGTTCAATACTGGTGATTCCTGCAGGCTTCTAAGCCAGGTTTTATTAGTCTTCTCTGTTCATATGTTCAGATGTTGAGTGCCTTTTCAGGGTCATGAATGACAAATGGTTGCTACTCAAAGTAGTGTTAATCTAAAGATCTAAAAAGATCTTATTTTCTTGACAGAAATATTTTCTGACTGTTTTGGAGAACATTTATGCCCCTCTTAAGTCTCCTTTTTAGTATTTTATACAGTTCTAATGAAGATCAACTGTTGTACTTGTTGACTGTGTAAAATGTTTTCAGTTGCACTGATGTGACATACCAAGGGTGTTTTTTCTCTATGCAATATTTGCAGATTAAAGATGACAAAACTTCCCCCTCTGTCAATCTATAGACAGTTCTGTGTCCATGAGTACCCATTTCCCATGAGACAGGCCTTTCGATTAAAGGTGAGGAAGTTATTTCTTTTTGTTAATCTGGGGGAGAAGGAACAAAGGATTTCCTTCAGTGTAAATTTCCAGTGTTTTATCAACGTGCTGTCACAATATTCAATAACAAATAAACACTCCAGTTCTGCAATTGCTTCTTGCACCTATATTGATTTAAATGGATAAAGCAAATCCTCTGTCTACAAGACCTCATTCTGTGTAAAACTTACTTGTTAGTAAATAAAATATGCATGCACTTTAAATTGAGACACCATTGTAATCTTCATACCGAAACAGAACCTTTGTGATTCCTATTTGTTTATTGGTGACATTATTTAGAACCTGTTTTCAGTGTTTTAATATTAACTCATTACTTTTCACAAGATTATGGAATGGTTTGGATTGGGACCTTAAAGACCATCGTGTTCCAACCCTCTGCCATGGGCAGGGACACCTTCCACTAGACCAGGTGCTCCAAGGCCCGTCCAACCTGGCCTTGGACACTTCCAGGGATGGGCAGCCACAGTTTCTCTGGGCAACCCATGCCAGGGCCTCACCACCCTCTCAGAATATTTTGGCAATTAGAACAATTATTAGGTTAAAATATACATTCAAGGCAGCATTTATATAGTTCAACAGTGGAAATGCAGAACACCTTTCAGTTCAAGCCTGGTGTGTGCTGTTGTGCCCACCTGGTGTTTGGGGGGGCTGGGTTCTTTTTATGGAAACATTTTACTCTGACAGACACCTATGAATTAGGGCCCTGAGACTGCAGACCTTGCAATCAAATCTGACTTTTTGTACAGAACTAATGCAAATGCCTCTTCATAGAGCTGGTAAGAACTGAAGTCCTCTCAGGGAAGTTGGTTGAACAAGGCTTTGTTACTGAAAATACGTGACCTGTGGGTTGTACCTTGTACTGAATACTGAAGTCAGAATCCTAAAGGCTGGTTTTAAAGCAGAAATACACAAAGCCCATTATTACATCAGTCCATCTGCTTGAAATACAATACAGCAATTATGACATAAAGCCCTTTCTTCTTAATCCAGGGGTTCCAGGCAATGCATAGAAATGCCTCACCTTTTGTAAAGTCCCTTACATAACTCTCAACAGAAGCATTTGTTACTGAACTTTTGTTTAGCTGAAACAGCAGGAATTAAGAGCTAATAGTGGTGATTAAGAGCAGGCAGAGTCCAGATAAAAGAATATCTGAATTTTACAAAGCAGCTGACAGTATGACAGAACTGGTTGGAAATGAGATGCTGTTCATTTGTTTTGATTTGTCCTGGAGCTCCTTGAGTATTCCTTTATGACACTCCTAACAGGTGTTGGACACTTCAGATGAGGGAGACTGGTGACAGTCTCTGCACTTAGTGTGTCATCATGTCCTACCTGGTTAATGGACAGCCTGATAAGCTGCCTGGCGTGGTTCTTTTTGTATAGTCATTGCTGCCAGTCACTCTTGAAGGGAGGGATCAAGTTGCAAGACCTGGTCAAGTCTTTTGCAACAGCAAAGCATATTGTACAACATGAACATGTTGTCTATTTAATATTCTGCTAAAGTTATGCTACACAGAACTGCATTTACTGGCATTTGATTAGAACATACACTCATCTGTGTTGGATAAACTAAGACATTGGAGAAAGACATTAGAGGAGGGTTAGGTGTCACATGTGGTTGCAGTTAATAAAAACAAACACCACCATTATGCAAGAGTATTTTATTTTCTGCTTTAAACAAATAAAAACACATTTCCAATTTGAGGTAAACCATTAGTAGTAGTTTGCAAAGAGTATAAATGTCTCTAAAAATAAAACAGCAACACAAAGGTCATGACAAGATCTATGTTTGTCTCTAGACCTTCATTAAGTAGTTCATACAGTACCACTTTATTCATGCTGTCAAACAATCGTGTTCTTCATTGGAAGGCCCAGTGCAACCAATAGAAAATGTCTGGACTGAGGGAAAGTCACTTGTTCTCACCACAGATGGTATCAGACACTTTTACCGTGTTGTGTCAATTTGTTTATGAAAGCTGCTGTTGTGCAATGCACTCTATTCTGAACACTTCTGCCTAGTTTACACCTTCCCACTCAGGACTCAGTTCATCATTTTGGTCGTGCTGCCAAATTGAAATGACCAGACAGCCAAGCCAGAGGAATGAAATAGAGGGAACTATACCAGACAGGCACCCTGGGATATATTCTGCACCAGCAGAATCACCTGAACACAAAAAACATTCACAGGTGATCAGCAAATCATTATTGATCTTGGAATTTATGAGAAAGTTTCACAGAAGTATTTTGGATGATGATGGAGCACATTTACATTTTTCCGTGGTCAGATTCATTTACCCAGCCTCTTTGGTAGGAGGCAGGTCACACAGTAATTAAGCATAGATGTGAGCCAAGAGAGCAAGTAAGTAAAAAGCAACTCAAAGGTCACATCCCCCGGTATACCACTGCTGGTTATCAATGAGATTGTGCCATTTCTTCCAATGGCAAAGTTCCAAAGTGACAGGGGCCTCAGCACAGAATCGCTTACACCATGTTATTTTATTGTGTACAGGAAACTTGTGTGAGTTACATTGACCAGCAACATTTTTCTGCTAGTTAAAGCTGCATGTACAAGAGCACTTGTTAATTATGCCATACGAGCAACTTTTGTGGGTTTTTTTAAGCATAGGAATCAAGAGCAGATGATCTTCCATACTTAACATAATTTTATTAAATTAACAGAAGAGTTTTACTAAGAAAATTGAATGAACAGCAGTCTAGTGCAGTCACACTTCATGGTGTACCTCTAGGGATGCCTAGTTCCACTCAGTATCTAAACCTTTGTAACACTTCAGATGTGAATGAAGTATATTAATCCATGCAGAATTATGCATGTTGAATACAGCAAGTATTCATCAGTCCTTATTAATTTTAAAGTATCTAAAAGTGATTTAACCTCTGAAAAATTCTTGATCTTTCTGAAAAGCAAGGTAGTGTTTCATCTGTAAACCACTAACACAACCCTTAAAAGCCAAATTATATAATATTGAATTACATTGCACAACAAATGAGTACAGTGTTTTGTGGACAAATAAAATATAGTCCCTTTTCTAGAGGAACTACAGCCCAAGGGCCACACACTGCAGAAGTTAAAACAAAAGATGTAGTGGAATTTGTGTTGCATACATGAAGTTACTCGAGTTTGTGTCCACAGTGGTAGGTTGTTAATGAAAAACTGGATTTCGACCTACTCTGCACTAAATGGTGATAGCAGAAAAACAGGAATAGTCCTTTATTGCCAAAATTGCAGTTTACTTTTGCACAGATATTTGTTGTGCACTCTTCTGATTACGTGGGTTTAAAGGAAGACAGACCTTCAGTAGTTTACCACTGAATTTGAGAAGGAAAACATTGAAGAGAAACAATTCACTGTAACTCTTGGACCTTTTGTAAGCATTGCTGCTGCTGCACCTTGTTAAACAGAAGTGGAATGTTACAAATGATCCTTTACGATTCAAACACAGATTGTTCCTCACTGCGCTTTCTACTCTTTCTTTGCACTCTGGGCATCTTTTTCTTCTTCATCAGAGTACACAGTGGGTTCCTCCCCCTCCTTCAGCAGCTTACCAACATGATGATACTTAACTGGGGAAAAAAAAAAGAATCCAAGTAATTATTCTGCCCTGAAGATGTACCTTTTTAAACTCTGTTTTCTGAATTAACAAAATGCCTGTATTATAATAACTCTGAGCAACTTGTTCAACAGTGTGGGGAAGGAGGAAAGTAAAAATCAACTACCTGAATTACTATTAATGTTGTAGTAAGTGAAAGAATCATGCCAAGTGAATGTAACTGTAATTCTCATTCTATTGCCTAAGCCAAAAGATGAATGAATGTAAAGACAACAAACAGAATCTTGGATTAGATTATTTTTCTTGCCAGTGTCAAAGGTGGTTTTTCAACCAATGGCACTGCTGGAGTATTTACATCACATATTAAACATGCACATACATGTGTGCATCTGCACAACATATACACAACTTTGAAGGTTTGTTTTTATTTTTTGTAACGTGTGTTGAAAATATGCAATAGGTCAGAAGGGAGATCCTTTCTCTCGAAGATAAAGATGGACCTGTTATCCAATTATGTGATTAAGCCTCTGATTTATTTTATATCTCATTCTGAACATGTAAAAACACCAAGATTGTGTACATGTAAGAACTAAGAGCTATATTGCGTTGCCCATCTGTCAACTTCAACGAAGCAAAAGATGCCCCTGATTACAGGTATCTGGGCCTAGCACTGTTGTTATAATTTACAAGAATTGAAAACAACTAGTTGGCATATTTAATAGAAACCCAGTAATAAAAAGAGTGCAGTTCACTGTCAGTCCTGATGCTCAACTCTTGTAAAGGTACATTGAAACGCCAGTTTAGGTCAGATATTTGGTAGCATAGTTCTGGTTTCTGCTACAAGCTTGTTAGCAAAATAAAACAGCCATTCAGTGTGGCATGATTAACAGTCTTGATTAAGACAGGAAGAGAGCCAAAATAGTAGGGGCACATCAGGTCAGGACTGAGATGTTCTAATGACATGATGTGGAGGAAAACTCCACTGTAGCCAGTTATAGTAAATCTTGGAACACTAGATTTAAAAACAAAACACATTTGATTTCCACTGTACTACTTTTTGGTATATGCAATTTCCCTCATGGGTATAGAAATATAAATTCATCAGGACACGCAACTGACATATTTATTTTTTGTCTTACATGAATAGAAATAATTGCCCTGGTGTTCACTCACTTAAAAGGCATCACGAGATATGGAGAAATTATTTTTTATCAACAAGATATGCAATAGGAGGGGAAAAAAATCATACTAGTGGGCAAGCCCTGGTACAAGGTCGGCACAGCAACTTCCATAAAACTGTGGTTTGAAGTGGGTTTTGAGCAACAAGTGGAGACACATGACACAAACCAGTCGGAATTGCTTTTTTAAACTTTTAGTACTAAGCATAAAACAAGGCTACTATGAAAGTGACTTCCTTCGGTTATTTTTAGAACAAACATCTCAATTGTGCAAGTTGCCTTTTTTTCCTCTGGCCATCACTGGCACGGTACACACCAGGCAGCTTGCAAGCACAGGGGGGACATTTGCCCATTTTCCTGATCACTTCCTGAGGGAGAAAGTCAACTGAATACAGTTGTCTATGAATCTGCTACAGTCACCAGCAAGGCCATGCAGAATAACTTACTGGGAGTAAAAAAAGTTCTATCAAGAGCTCCAAGGGGAAAAGGCCTAGTTTAAACAGTCTTCAAAACCACTAAACCCCAAGTAATAATTCAAACTTTACTGTTGTTTCTGAGAATCTGAATGGAACATAAGCTTCATTTTTTCAGAGCATTAAAATCTATCAGTCTCTATAGAAGGGGTCTTAACTTTATCAAAAACACGGTCTTTATTTCCATATCTCGTCTACTTTTTGGGTGGCCTTATAGACCTTACCCTGTGATAGAGTGCTTGTATCTTTGCCAGTTCAGTAGGGAACAGAGGGAAGGAGAATGCAGGAGAACCCGACATTTCTCTCAATTCTAAGTAACAGTAATTCTAGTAACATTAAACCAAGGTATTAATTTCCAGACTGATGCTTCCAGCTGGTAACAGCCTTTTAACCATTGCTTCCCCTCTTACACACCAGTAACTGACTTCTTTGTAAATAGGTTTAAAATTGCTTACAAGTGAATTGTGACTCCCAGTCCCTCAAGGTCTCTTGCTGTGTAGCGTTGAGGTCAGAGAGGTCATCGTACTCATCCCTCAGTGCCTCCTTATCCAGGCAGAAAGTGGCAAGACCTCGGGAGGCATCTCTTCCAGCAAAAATGCCATATGGGCCCTCTTAAAACAAAAACATAAGCTGCATTATTACAGAGATAATGGATGCTGTGTGATCTTCACGGATCAGAGTCCCCAGACTAAAACAGATAAAGAGTTCCTACCCTGACCTGTGGGTCAGAGGTGCCTCGAGCTTATGAAATGTTTTTAAGTTTTATGCTACTTGGTAATAAGGGAAAACAGAGGAAGAGGGCAAGAAACAAAACAATGAGAAAAAGATGCTGAGTTTGCTAAACCACAGTGGTGCATGGCCCATACAGACAGGGTAAGGATAAGCACTACCTGGGAAGCACAAGGAACAGAGGAAGGATTTTTAAGTCAGGTGAAATGAAAGTTTTCCCAGAGATGCTCCTGACTTAAAGAGATGAAAGGATGGTTCAACAGAAAAAGTAGTGCAGATATCAAAAATTACTAACTTGGAAAAAACATCTATTAAAACTTTCAAAATGTGAGATGAATGCAAATTATCAAAACATACAACTCACAGAACATCAGAGATACCAAGACAGACTCTTGATAAACTTCAGTAATGATTAACTTGCTTGCATGACAAGCCAAAATTTGAGATACTGCATGTTGCAACTACACATTCAAAGTTCTTCTTAAGGGAGCTTAAGTAAGTTAGATGTGAATGCTGGTTACTCTAGAGCATATGCCATCTTCCACTCCTCCCAAAGCATGCTTTTTCCTAAATTTCTCAAAAGAATCTTACGTTTCCATTAAAATGAAAACCACACCAGCCAGACACTGTGGTGAACCATTCAGCAGTTACCAAATTAGGTCCAAGGGGCAGCTTTTACTGTTGTCAGGGAAGGCAGCATCCAAAGTATGGACTTTAAGTGGTTTTTAATTTGCACAAATACAAAACTGCACATCTAACTCATCTGTACGTATCATCTTGACTGCTGCAGAATGCAAAGTTACAGTCTGGCATCATTCAGTGACAGTCTCCAGTCTATGTCTGGACCAAAAGTACAACTGATAACAGTTACAAATACATTGTGCGTCCTGCACTATTCTCCTTGTCTCTAAGTAACACTGCAGCTCCCAGCTGTCTGGACAGCTCAGGAGTGGTTATGCCAGACAGGTCCTGGTACAAATCAGCAAGCCTGAGTGAGGCTAACAGGCAGCCTCTGTTAAAAATAAACCCCCATGCCCACGTGGAGGTGATTAAACTCTTGTACCTGGGTGCACATACTCCCACCCCCCTCATCACTGGCTGCTCTACGAGCATAGGTTATTCAATCTTTGCACGTTTGAACTATGCTCCTGCTAGGAATCTGGCTTAATCTAAATTGGTATGTATTTAGTATAAATATTATGCAACAGAGTGATGTCCACTAAAAGTTGGGAAGGGAATGTAAACACCAAGAGAACACTTGGCTTCTGCCGCCTGGCATCGGGCAAAGGCACCCCAGGCCGACGAAGCCGCCCAGCCCCTTACGGTACATGTAACCTGCCATGGGCACACACACAGAATAATGAAGCAACGCAAGCTCGCAAAGCCGGAGTTTCTGCACCACCGAGGACCGACCCTGGAGCCCGGGCGGCAGCGCTAACCTTGCCCTCCGCCTCTCCGGGAGGTGCGCGCACCCTTCCCGGCTCCGAGCCGGCCGTGCCCTTCCCGAACCTCCCGATCGGGAGCCGGGCCGGGATGCGGGTCAGGCAGGAGCGCGGAGCGCGCTGAGCCCGCACCGAGGGAACGCGTCCCGGCAGCACCGACCCCTCCCCGCCCCGCCCCGCCGCCCCGGGCCTCACCGGGCCCGTAGAACTTCCTGGCGCGGGTCACGTCGAAGACTTTGCCGTTGACGGCCATGAGGATGCGCGGGTCGCTCACGCCGTCGAAGGGCCGCAGCTGCGCCAGGGTGAAGTCGCGGCGCTTCATCTTGGGCAGCGGCGGCGGCTCCGCCTCGCCCGCGGGTGCCGCGGGCCGCTCGCCCCGCAGGATCTGGTAGAGCAGGAAAAGGCAGAGGCCCAGCAGGCTCAGGTTGAGCGGGGAGCCCACGATCTCCAGCAGGAGCCCGCCGGCCTCGCCTGCCGCCTCCTCGCCGGCTACCGCCGCCTCCTCGCGGGCCATGGCGCCGGGTACGCTGCGGTTCGGCGGCTCTGGGAGCGCGGGGCGGCGGCTCCGAGCGCAGCCGGCCCGGCGGGGCCGAGGGGCGGTGTGAGGGGAGAGGAGGGAGGAGCGGCGGGCGGGGCGGTGCCGCCCCCGGGCCGCGAGAGCCGGGCGGGCTCGGCGGGCTTGGTGCTCGGCCCTCGCCGGCACTAGGTGGTGGTGCGGGGCCGGGATGGCGAGCACTGGCCGGGGACGCCGCGCAGCTGAGCCCGGGGCGGCCCCGCCGGCCGCTGGTCCCCCCTGAGGCGGCGGGTCAGGCCAGGCCGCCGCGGTGGCGGCTCCGTGGAACGTGGTTCCACGGCTCACGCTTCCACAGAAATTCCAAAAAAAGACCCCTCTGGGTTGCGTTAGACCCGCCTCAGAGCTGCCGAGCTGGGCTCTGGGAGCCGCCGGGCCCTTCGGGGTGGAGGACGGAGGATGAAGGATGGTGGTTGGATCAGGGTCTGCTCGGTGGTGCCCAACAGTAGGACAAGAGGCAGTAGACAGAAACAGAGGCACAGGAAGTTCCACCTGAATGTGAGGAAGAACTTTACCATGCGTGTGACCACACGCTGGAACAGATTGCCCAGAGAGGGTGTCGAGTCCCCCTCTCTGGAGAACTGTCTGGACACAGTCCTGTGCAATGTGCTCTGGGATGACCCTGCTTGAGCAGAGAGGTTGGAGCAGATGACCCACTGTGGTCCCTTCCAACCTGTCCCGTTCAGCGATTCTGTGATTCCCTACAGTCATTCCACCGGTGCCAGGGCACATCTTCACATCCCTGGCAGAGCAGTGACTTTTTGAAGTGCTCTCTAGGAATGGTGCCAAAATCAAGGTAGGAGAAAAGAGAGGAAAATACCAAACTTCTTGGGTTTTGTCATTCAGGTAATAACCTCACCCCACCCAAAACTACAGAAGCAGCAGCCACGATGTTTTATTGTAACATGGAAAAGAAGAGTGTCCTGCTGTGGATTTCTTTATTCAGGCTTCTTCTCAGTGTAGGTTTTGGTGAGGTAAAACTTAAGCTGAAGGAAGCACTAACTGGATGTGTCTACCTGATGTGGTGTTCAGGTGGAGCAACTGGAGCCCTGAATACATTTATGTACCCCTGGTGTTATCTGCTCCTTGGTATCTGCCGTCAGAAACCAGAAATTATGTCTTGGGTCTCTGCAAACTGTATCCTCACTATCCTTCAAAAAGAACACAAACAAATACCCTGCCAGAATATTGTTATTCCCTCTACACAAGTCAGTAACATCACTCAGGGTACATGCAGAGAAGACTTGTAGCATACTGACCTTAATCACAGAATCATTAACGTTGGGAAATACCTCTAAAATTGTCGAGTCCAGCTTTTAACCTGATCTTGCGTTATAGCTTGGCAGGTGGCTCATATCACTGCTTCAGTGGGAGGAGGCAGATTTACTGAACCTAGCATTGGGGTATTTGTTTATAGAAAACCAAAAGCAGTGCATTTTCTAATTCTCAGTGTTAGGAACATTTTAACTTTGTGGGCCAAAGGAGATACTGACAAAGTTTTACCTTTTGGGATACACTTAAAACCTCTGAGCACTAAGGCATTTAAACACATTAGCTCTTGCAAAGGAGGGTGTTTGGTTCCATCTGCTGTCTCCTTTGGGAAGCTCCTTGTTTTATTGATCAGCACTTGAGCTTTAATCTGTCCTTTCATGGTATACACTGACTTTTGCTTCCACCTGCTGTGTAACTTGAAAAACTCCTTGTTTCATTGATCTGATGACTGAGATTTGTTCTTGTTAATAAAGTAGCTCTGCATTTTGGCCCTATTTTGTATACTAAAGAAATCTCAGAAACATCAGAATTATTCAAACTGGGAGCTGTGTTACCTAGTTAATTCTGCTCAGTGTAGACATGAAATTGAGTTATAGGAATAGATGTAGAGAAACCCCAGAAATTTTGGTGGAAGATTTTTCTTTCATTTTTTTTACAACACATTTTGATCAAAAGCAAGGAAAAACCCCCAAACTCCAAAACAACCCCAGCCCTGAATCTGACCTTGAACCAGGCACTGAAGTCAGGGAAAAAGAAGCTTTGTTTATGCCTAGTATCCTAGAGAAACCATCCAAGAACAGTTCATTCTTAGATAAAGAAGGGCCAGGAAACATTGCCAAGATTGATAGAATCTCAAGTTATCTGCCACACGAGCACTGTTACTGCAAGTTACAGTGGCCCAACTTCCAGCTCTTTTTTTGCCTTGCAGCATATAAAAAAAATTCATATGCCTAAGAATGCATCTTAAAAAAAAAATAGGAACAGACATTTAGAAATAAGTGGATATGAATCAAAATTATGATACATCAGTCAGAATTATCTAAATTCATTAACTCTTCGCTGTAGAGTTCTCTCTAGCAAGCTTATGTGTCAATTCCTTTAAACAGTTCCTAGTCAGAGAAGAGTTGGCCCCAGCTCTAGTTAAATACCATAGGCGTTAGCTGTGTTCCCACACAGGTTTTCCTCTGCATTCAACAGACAACAATAACTTCCTTCTTGAAACCATTCTGTTAACACCTATGATACAGCAGTTCTAGTAAAATGCTGAAGTGTTTGAAGAAAACCCTGGAACTCAGACAACTTTCATATCCTTGCATAAATCTACTAGAGATGAAGGAAAATTAGCTCTACTACACCTCAGAATTCTTCTTACTGCTCTATTTCCACTTTGGAACTTGTCTGGTAGATGTAATGCATCTTTTAGAGCGTATGTAATGCTTCTAAACAAAGTGTGCTTTGCCTAGGTTGCCCATGGTACATTTTATCTTGGCAAAGTACCTGGGGACCATTGTTGCCAAGCTGGTTTTGGGCCTCACGTTCTCTCGTTGTTCCTTTGGAAGCCCTTCACAGAAATTCCTTTCTCTGAATTACCTGATTGACCATCTTAATTTAAACTATGACTGCAAGAAAGTTTCCTGAAGTTTGCAAAGATACCAATGCCTAATCTGCATTATTTGTGAGCTGATTCCCAGAGCCGCTGGTCATCTGGAACTATTGCTGGCTTTCACTCGACCTGCAAGGACCCAAGGTTTCTGAAGTAGAGATCTTAGTCTTTGAAATTACTGAGAACTGGTGACAAATAAAACCACTGCCAAGTTAGATCTTTGCTGCCCAGACTAAAGGCTGATTTGTAGCTCCCACTTGAGAATTTGAGAGACTTCAAGAACGTGCTGTAGGATTGCAGCACAAACAGCTCGTGACACCAAGTAGTCAGTCACCAGGAGAGGCAGTTTTTACCTTGTGGTCTGATGGCCTCTTGGAACCTGTAGACTTCTCTAAGTGAAGAAATTAAAAAACAAGATTAAATGTGCCTTACAAAGACACCAGGAAATCAAACCTTCTAGGGAGACAACATCTTATATGAGACTATTCGACATTTTTACATAGGCAAGCTCTATCATGTTTGGTGTAATACAGATATTACATCTCCCTCTTTTTTCCCTCTCTGTTCCCTGCCCTCAGGAATAATTTAACTTACCAACAAGGAAAAAGAAAGGCAAGATGAGATGGGGGACTACCTATGCCAAAGAAGCAGAACCCCTCCCTCAACTGCAGAGGTCCTGTAGGTCAAATGTACTAATGCAGGCAGCAGGCGTTATATATGAAGTGGGTCTGTTCCAGGTGCAGAGCAGCTACCTGACCTAGGAACGCCCTGAATTGCTTCTTGTCCTCAGATCAAAAGCAGTGAACATCTTTCTGATGGACTTTTTTTTTTTTTTTTTAGTTTTTATTTCCATCTCCACCACATTTCTGTTTCTTTTTTCAGTTGCATCTTCTTCTAGCTGTGCTCTCCATCCAGCTAAGTGCAAGAAGAAAGAACTGTGCAATGTGAAGATGACACTATGCTGAAGCCTATCAAGACCCTGTCATTCCTGCAGATATATGTGTGCACATCCACAGCATAAAACAGCTCCAGATGGGAATTTTTACCAAGTTTTAGAAAAGGTGTTGGAGGAGGGGATTGGAAATGCTGAGACTGCTCATGCTGGAGGATTGCTTTCCTCAGAAATACACTGTTGTGAGCTTGCACCTAAAATCTTTTCCCCACCAGCCTTATCTTCCCCCTTGCTTACTTGTCTTTTAGGCTACCAGGACTATGGGCGTTGATTCAGTCATGTCAAACAGGACTGACAGTCACTGTGACAAGAAAGCTTGCTTGGTCAGTATGTACAGCAAGTACACTAGGAAGTTTTAGAGATGTCTTTTAACTGTAGATGAAAATCTAGGTGTGAATTCTCAGTATTGGCTCTTTTTTTGAAAGGCAGCAGATGTCAAAAACAATCTGCACAAGCTGCAGATACTTCTGGAAGAGGCAAGGAAAAGAGAAAACACAAATCTGTGTGTGATTCTTGCAAAGTAAGAGGTTCAGTATCCCTAGAAAGCACACTGATTTACACTGAAAGAGTAAATAAAATCCCGGACTTCCTGAAAATAGCAACTTGGATTTGCTTACATATCTGATGAGCCAGAAGTATTTTATGTATCAGAAATAACTGGACGACATGAAGGAAACTTTGTGTATTCCCAGATCAAGTCAAACCAGCAGCACTGTTAGAGGGAGTAGGAAATGTTACCTCTGCTCTGTTAGTTTTGGATAGGGAAATGGTATCCATTGCTTATACATGGGTTGTTCACAACGACCAATTTTTACTTACACTGGAGACATTTACTTTTCACTTTGGAATACATGAGCCATCTTCACTCGTGTCGCTGTATCCCTGAAGTAGGGCCTGTTACTTTTCTGCCCCTGGGATGCAGTACCAGTTCTGCTGCAGAGCAGATCAGCCTGTTTCAGTGGGAACTGGCAATCAGCTTCAACATTAATAGAGTCTTTCAGACTCTGGACATCTTTCAGACCCTCTAAGTCACCCCACAGCCTGAGCAGTGTTACCTGTGTCACTTTGCTGAGAAGATGCTTGCACCCACGCCCTGAGCCCTCCAGGCAATGTCCTGAATGGCATCTTAGGTCAAGCTTAATGTTTTCCCAAGCCATTGTGTCTCAGAAGCTGGGCCCCAGAACTGCCACTACCATCACATGAAGCTGACTCAGGGGAGGTTTATGTTGGGTATCAGGAAAAGGTTTTCCACCCAGAGCGTGATTAAGCACCAGAACAGGCTCCTCAGGGAAGTGGTCACCAAACCTATCTGAGTTCAAGAAGTGTTTGGACAATGCTCTCAGACATTGAGGTGTCTTGTATAGGGCCAGGAGTTGGACTTGATGGTCCTAAATTGGTCCCTTCCAACCCAGGATATTCTGATTCTACAACTCTATGATCGTGCTGTGGCCTTGCCTTCACAGCTGAATTATTACAGGTCTCTCAGGCCGGAGTCTGTAAGATTTCATGGGCAACAAAGACGCTGGAAGCCCAGGAAACCTTGAAGGTACCACAGTCTTCCCATCCCACAAAGGCGTGAGAAAGAGCCAAAATTCCTGCAGTGAATGCGTCAGGTGGTCTCCGACGCCCCGCGCAGGTGTCGGGCAGAGGCGGGGGTCGGACCGTCCACAGGGGTGTCCGTGCTGCTCCCACGGGGCCCCCCCGGCGGTAAGACGGTGTGGGGAGGTGGGGCCGGTGCCCGGTGCCCGCGGGGCGGGGCCGCCCGGGGCGGCGGGCGCGGAGCGGCGCGGGGAGCGCGGGCGGTGAGTGGCGGCGGGGACCGGCACCGGGAGGACGGGCAGGCAGGCGGGCGGTCACCGGGAGGGGCACGGCCCCGGCCCCCGGCACGGGAAGGGCTCCTGCGCCGCTCCCGCCCGCTCGGTGCCTGGGGAGCTCCTCAGTTGCGCCGGGCATTGCACACCAGGAGCTCTGGGCGCTCGGCAGCTTTGGGATAACCCTGGCGGGTGTTCCGTGGCGGAGGCGAGCGGCGTGAGATCTCCGAGAGGTATTCTTTGTTCCGATGCTGTATCCACCGGCTACCGGCTCCCTGCGGCTGCGAACGCTCCACGGGCATCCTCGTCCCGAACTTACAGACTCGCAGGCTTCCAGTGTCGGATCTCTACACTTTATGCTCCAAACCAGGTTTTTAACTCTACGTTAGTTAGCTGCAGTAGTCATGGTTGTTAATACGATCTGGAGTATGTCTCTTGCAGCGTTAGTGGAATTGCTGGAATTGGCGGCTGTCTCCCAGGAGTGAAGTCTTAACATTGGTGTGGGCACTGGGAGAATTCATGTGATCTCAAAGCTAGTATGCAGGAGTGACGTGAGAGAAGTAGTAAAGGGTCAGATCCATGAGCTGTAGTAGATGAAAAGACACCCACTGTGTAATTTCTTTCATGATTATTTTGCTGAGACGTTCCATAGCTTGATCTTAGAAACAGCTGTATGCAGGAGTATAGCCTTAATGACTGATGAATTTCCTATGATAACTATCCTTGTACAAGTCAGTGTGACTCATGTAAGGGCAAGTGCTTTCATCCAGGTAACAATCTGCAGCAGAGTATGAGCACAAAATATCCAAAACCCCCAGCAAAATACTTCCCGTCTATCCATAGTGTAGTTCAACTCCTCTCTTGAAAACTGAAAAGTTTCTCATTTAAAATGTCCCTTTTCCCAGGCAATTTGAAGTATACTGTTAGGAACCTTCAAAACAGAAAAGCAAGTTTGGTGGCATCATCTTTTATTAACAGCTTCACCATTGTGAGTTTCCTCTTTCTCTCACACTATATAATAGAAAATAGGACTCCAATACAGTGAAAAATTAATCCAGTGATTTCATGAGCATGGAATTACTTTTTGAACTGTTTGGTTGATCACTTGTTTATAGTTTGGAC